ATTAATAAACACAAATAAGAATAGTTAAAGTACATTGAAAAAGTAAATTGACCTTGGGCATGCAAAAAAGTAGAGGGAGAAAGTAATAAAAGTACATGAGAAAACAAAATTTACATGGAAAAATTAAATTTGCACAAATATTGTTGCAAATCGGAGGAAATTTTGGTAAAAATTTAATATTAATGGTTGTTGGAAAAAGCAAATGAAGTGAACATTTTTGGGACTAAAATTTGTCCATAAGGGACTATCAAAAGGGGACAGAGGGAGTATGATACATGAATGACTTGATATTGACCCAATAATAAGGTAAAAACTCAATAATAACTCTAGTTTAAATATAACCTTATTTAGAGATGAATTGGGTCAACTCGATTAAAATCCAGCCAAACACAGAAAGGAATTGAATTGAAATTGACCAATTAAAATCAACAGATCAACCTGATCTTAATCAAACCGAAATCAACTTGACCCAAATTCATCCGGCCCGAAATTAACCCCGTTAAACTCGATCCAAATTTATCCGAATCGAACATGAATTGATCTGGAGTTGACCCGACCCATATCAGACCCGGACTCGATAGACCATGACCCAAATTTGATCCGACCCAAATTTGACCCGACCCGACCCAATCTAAAATAAAAGAATAATTTTGACCCGAACAGACCCGACTCGAATAGACCCGATTAAAACTCCATCCGCTTATTCGAATTGACACCTCTAGGATTAATTGTACCATATGAAATCCTTCTATATTAGTTGCATCACTTTAAAGTGGTACCAAATTAGGTGCAACTAAATCATAAAAGGAAGGAATCTATATTTTTAAAAATTGTTTCTCTCACTTTGGAATTTGAATTTTTTTTTATACACTCAGGTGCTAGGTGTATCCCATGCATTTTGTTTTCAATTAATATATTTTTGTTTATTTAATATAAGCGAAATAACAAATACAAAATGAGCAAAAGGAATTTCTTGAGTGCACCTACCTCTATATACATCGAGTGTATAAATTTTTTAAATTACTTTAGTTATACTTTTTTTGTAAATAATTATAGAAAAAACAATCAAGAATATTTAAAATTTATTCACACCCCTTGAAAAATCAATGTTTGTCTTTCCACTTACAATAATGAAAACAATCTGCTTACTTAACGTACCATAAAATAAAGAAGTCACTTATTTTGCTTTAAATCTTGTAATGGTTTAAAGGATTTGATTAATTTCAGACCAAAGAAGTGAATAACAATGTCAAAGAGATAAACAAAAAGTAATAGGAAAATTTATAATTATTAATCCCAACTTTCGCCCATTTCCTTTCATTAATCCCAACTTTTGATTATTATTGAATAATCCCAACTTTGGGGGGCATTTTCTTTTATCAGGTCATGACTGGTCAATAAAAGTCAATGACCTATTATAACAAGTAACTTGACACGTGTCAAGCCCTGATTGGTAAAAAAAAATTAAAAATTACAAAAATTGAAAAAAAAAACCCCAAACCTCTCTCTTCCGTTCACCGGACCACCACACCCTAACCCCTACCCTAACATCCCAGCCACCCTTTTACCACCATGAAACATAACCCCCACCCCTAAACTCGTCGGCCACTGCCTTTGGGCCACCAAAACCAACCGATCGGCGAACCCCGACCACCAAAACCACCAGCCGCACCACCACAACCCCTAAAACAGCTGGTTCACGCGAACCTCGGCCCCCATTACCACCGGGAATGCGAATCCCGACCCCATTACCACCAGCAGCACGAATCTCGACCCCTTTACCACCAGCAGCGCAAAACTCGACCCCCAAAAACCAACAACCGCCCGAATCCTGACCCCCAACATCACCAGTCGCGCAACCGCGGCCCTTGAAACCACCGTCCCCTTGAAACCAGCCGCGCGAATTCCCTTCCTCACTCACGAAAACCACCAAATTCCCCTTCCCCACCATGTTGTTAGGGTTTTCGTGAGTGGGGGAGGGAGATTGGTGGTTTTCGTGAGCGGATGAGGGAGATCGGGGTGAAGGGTGGATATGCGTCTAGAAGGAGTTGCGGTGCTTGGGGGTTGTTTTCGGCGACGAGGGGTGAAAATGGTGGCTTGGGGGTTGTTGTCGGCAACGGGGGGTGAGGTTGCGGTGGTTTTCAGTGGGGTTGGGAAAGGAGATGGTGGTTTCCGGTGGTGTTAAGGAAGAAGGTGGTGGGGCTATGGTGCTGGTGGGTTTGGTTTTTAATTTTTTTTTTTAAAAAAATTAACTAATGAAATTGCGACATGTGGCATGTAAGAAAAAAAAATTACCTTTTAAATAGGTCACCGGTCATTTGACCTGATAAAAGAAAATGCCCCCCAAAGTTGGGATTATTCAATAATAATCGAAAGTTGAGATTAATGAAAGGAAATGGGCGAAAGTTGGGATTAATAATTACAAATTTTCCAAAGTAATAAATATTAATTTTAGAGCTGTGCCAAGTTAATTCTCCAGATAAACAAAAATTTGGGGTATAACTATTTTTTTAAGTACCAGTAGAGGGTACATGCGTCTTTTTATATACCAGTTGAGGAGTACATGTGTAAATTTCAAAATGTAAGTTATAAACAGTAATTGAAAAACTTACCAAAAGTAATGAATAAATAACCACGCTTTTTCAATATATTTATAGATTTCCCACCAGATTAACAAAAAATCGTTTATGGCAGTTTAACATGTATTTGCCCTTAATTTTAAAAGACAAAGAATGTATTGAATTCCTTCTACACATTATTTATTCTTTGTGACTTTTTATATGCCAATATTCAATGGCCTACAAATTATAATTGTGTAGGTACTAAAGGTATGTTCTATTCACCTTATTTTCACTTGTTTCAGGTGTAATAAGTTTTTCATTTATTTTAGATGTAATAAATTCAGATAAGTTCAAGAAAAAAAATGATAGATGTGGAAAAAAAAGGTATAGTGAGTTAGGCCTTGTTTAGTTCACCTTATTTTTATTTATTTTAGAAAAAATAAGTTCTAATCAGATCAGATCAGAAAAAATAAGTTCAGACCAGATCAGATCAGAAAAAATAAGTTCATATCAGGGCATGTTCTGATACAATTATTTTCAGTTCAGTTCAATTCTATTTAGCTCTAATAAGTTCAGTTCAGTTAACCTCAGCTCCTAATTTCCTTCTCTTATAAAATATTCAGTTCAGCTAAGCTCTAATAAGTTCAGTAGTTCAGTTCAACTCAGTTCAATCAATCAAAACAAGCCCTAAATCATCGTTTTATGTGCAATTTTTTATCGCTAAATATCTTTAATTTTGTATGAAAAAATTATGAAAATTACATATTAATAAAATACACATTATTACGAATATAACAAGTCCCTCCTTACAGATTATCGTATTTCTAAGGTCAAAGTTTGGTCAGATTAGACGATCAGATCAGACCAGATAAGTTCAAATAAACAAAAATAAGGTGAACCAAATAAGCTCTTAATGACAAGTCTTTTCAAACCTATTATATGGAGTACTTATAGAGATTAATTTACTCTAGAAATTGTTAAAAAAAAAGTGTCAAAAAACATTTTGAAAATGTCAACAAAACATAAAAAGAGTGACAAAAACGTTGATTTGATCAAACGATCTTTCTTTAGACTTGTTTTAACAATTTAACCAATATTCCAACATCGAGCAAAAATTACAAAATGCATCCTTCGTTCATTAATTATCTCGATATGGTATTCTTTCAATTCACAAATAATATATTTCGTATATTATCACGATTATACTCCGTAATTTAGTACTATGTATAAATTAAACAACCTACAACCTACAATTCTACAAAGTAGTTAGGGGATTAAACATCTAGAAATCTAGAATAGATTATTCAAAAATCCTACTTTGAAGAAAATACCAACGCAATCTCGGCGGGGTACTTGAAACGTCAACATAACTACCACTTGTTTCCTTCATTGACCCAAGTTTCAAACGCCTACAAACCAAAACCAAAACCAAAACCAAAATCAAACTTCTAGTGATTTCGTCACATTATATCATACTCGTATTGTGGTTAGGTGATTTGGACGTCATGTATAATAATTTTTGGTCATTGGTGCATTTCCACCATCTTATTATAATGAGTATTAAGTTAATTAAAATATCTTGGTCAACCTAGAATGAGTAATATGAGCTTATCTTCGATTGATTAGTGTACTAAGTTCAAATATTAATCATCACTGGACCCACCTATAAAAAATTGGAGTATATTCTTTGCTTCATCTACTGGTTTCTTAATATATTATTTTATTCAAGTAATTGTACAAGGACAGATTATGAAACCAATCAAAGGTTGAAAATTCATTTTTCCAAGATATTTAAACCATTCATACGCTAAGATTCACTTGAAAGTTTGTAGTAGTTATCCTTATCATTAGCACATTTTGGAAATCAAGGGAATTTAAAGATAAGATCTCAGATCCTATTTTTTTTTAGAGTAATAAGACCTTGATATGCTACAATTAGCGTGTCATAGCTTTATTAGCTTTAGATTTACCGTAGAACTGACCACATATCCACATTCTAGCACCCAATTTTTTTAGCAAAAATTGACAATAGAATTGAACCAAAACCTGAGAAAATCCGATCAAATTTGGCATACTTCCTCCGTTTCTATTTAGTTGACGCAATTGATTTAGACACATATATTAAGGAGAGGAGAGAGAGTGAGAGAGAGTGAGAGAGAGTGAGAGAGAATAAAAAAGCAAGTAGGGTGGCTTGTAAATACAAGGTACGGAATAAAAAACTTAACCCAAAAGGAAACGTGTCAACTAAAAAAAAACTTACTAAAAAGGAATACGTGTCAACTAAAAAGAAACAGCGGTAGTATTTGATAACGACGCGGCTTGAAAGCTGAAACTTACCCAAATCAATTCCTACCGGGATACCAGAATTGAAGTTTTTTTTTTTAACATTAATGAACCAAACCGAAGTTGAACACTCATATGATAGTTTCGCTTGTTCTAAATATCTTTCTGCAAAACCTTTTTTTTTAGCTGTAAAAGTTGTCACCTGAAAATTACAAATACAACTACAAGATTGTCTATATGTAGAGGACTATAGTATGGAGCAATACTATAAAAATTAAATATTTCCAAAAGGAGGTTGAAAGGTAATCAGGAAATCAGATATACACTAATAATCATATCTTCAACTTATTTTTTTCGTATAATGATACATAGCTCAAGTACTTGAACCTTTTCTTCAAAAAAAAAAAAAAAATACTTGAACCTTCACAAAAATGGAAATCTATCTACCAAAAAGTCTAAGAAACATACTTCGTATAGAAGCATAACTATATAAAGTGGGAGATCATACGGATGTGCATCGGAATGTGCACGAGTGACTTCCAAACTGCGATACCACATCAACCAGCCCTGTATACCCAGCAACTGCTATCACCTGGAAAACAAACATTGACGACTAATAGTATGAAAACCAACAGCACAATTAATGAAAGAGAACCATTAATAAGCTCCCTCGCCTAGATTCCAGTTAACTTTAAAGTGATGGATATATCACCAAGGCTATGAACACTTCACAACATTACTAATCATGATGGCCAAATTAGATTCTTGTTTTCATAGAAACATCACAAATGTATGAAGGGAAATATACTAGGTAGCCCCTAGACATCATAATTCGAGATGGTTTCCCTTGTCTATCTCATGAATTCTCATCATTCCAGTAGGTGACACATGAACTCCCATGCATATAAATATAACATAGAAACTAGTTAGACTTTTTATGCAACGAAAATTCTATAAAGCTTGAAAATGATCCATTCATCACTGAGCTGGGAATTATTTAATATGGATGCATTGGTAAATTTGGCCCTTTCCCTTCAATTTGCTGGGAATGCAACATTGCCAGGGCAGAAATAGTGAAGGACAATATGATTATTTAAAATTCATTTTGGGACAAAGGCTTTGTTGTAAAAGAAAACAATATTTGCATTAGAAGCATATACGGACACTCTTTAAAGAGCATGTGGGTAATACATTTGAAAAAATGACATCTCCATAAGGGATGAAGAAGCTGAATGTTCCAACTCGCATCAAGTTTTCCAAAAATGCTTAAACAATCAGAAAATATTAGGTGATGATGCTTTCAAAAAAATAAATAAATAAATAAATAGGTGATGATAAGCCTTGCGTATTATAGAAATTGCTGCAAGGGTTTTATAAATGACAAAAACTAGAAGGTTAACAGAACATACACCCGACTGATGCAAGGAGACAGAAAATGCTGACTCAGGAGCACATCTTATTTGAGATAGGATCTTGCCATTCATGTCCATTCGACTAAGCATTGATGAAGCTCCAACTGTTAATATCTGATAGATCATATCATAGTAGATATATAAATATAAAGCAAAGCAAAACACAACACCACACATCTGTCAAATAGCTACAGTGAAGCAAATGGCTGTTAAATGACCGTCTGCACCAGTAGCTAATGCATAAAGTGAAAAGGCAAATTTCTTGTCAACTTACAAGTCCTTGATGGAAGCAGCCTAAAAAATGCAAACCAGGATCTAGTTTATGCAGTTCAGGTAATTATATGAATGTAGAACAGGAAATTCACTAGCTGTAACAGGAAATGAACAATCAGTGAAGAAAATTTCAAAATGAACTGTGTCCTATATCTAGGATGAATATAAGATTAATAAAATTCCAAGAATTTATAGAAGATTATAAAAGAAGCTGTAACAAGGTGTTACTGAATCTAAAGCCAGCCAAGTTGGAACTGATAATAATTAAATCAAGCTGAAGATCACCTAAAGATTAGGGATCAAAATTTACGATGCTAAAAAAATTTCCCCGTCACCCAAAGACTTGTGTGACAAGTGGTCAGCCATCACCTAGCCCTACCCATACCACTACTTAAAGAATACTATGACGATGAAAACATTCAGAAGCAACATAGTCATTAAAATAGCGACAGCAATCACCAATAAAAAGGTAATTTAGACCTATTCAAGGCGACATGAAGTCAAACAAAGGCATCAAACATTCAATGAGTTTCTTATTATAGTAAAAAATGGATACACACACATAAACAAAGAAAAATATTCATAATTCAGCAACAAGCTTCAGTTTAAACTAATACCACCACTACAATTCATGCAAGCACAACCAGAGTTGAAATTTCAGTTAGTGTTCATATTAATGGAAGAATGGTAAGGCAGCTATTTTCAACTTGGAATGGTGAAATCTAATCATGGCAGGTTAAGTACCCAGCCACAAACCAGAATAAGATCTTACATGATTGTCATCAAAAACTACATCTTGGCAAGTTGTAGGAGTACTGATCCTTGAAATTTGTTCTGAAGCCAGAAGATTCCAAACATATAAACTTTTTCCGCTACCACAAGCCTGCAGAAGAGAAAAGTTACATTATGCTTTATGCAGGAAGCCTGGCAGACAGGAGCATCATAACAATAATTGATACTACGTTAAGTACTTGGGCTGCAGATCCTTTTCTTCAAAAGCCATTTATATGGCTACAAACTTGCACTTAACACACAGCATAGAGATCTTTTGTTATAAGAAGTCAAAATAATCTACTCGCAAAAACAACCGACAGAACAAGAACAACTGTTTAAAATGGAAGCAGAGGTACTAATGCTGCACGCTAATTGACCGCCAATGAGATACCAAGAAATGCAAAGGTGCTAAAGAACTACACTATTATATGTCAAACCAACACAAGTTATATTCAGATTCATTGCATCAACCCAATATTTCAATTAGTCGATATTGTTAGAAAATATTAGTTAGAATACTGAATGGTAATCTGGAATTTTCTGCCGAACAAAGTGATGCATCTAATCTATACATCATAATTTCATATATCTGCTGGTCTTAATTAGTCAGGGGCAAGACTGTTTTCATTTGATCTAGCTGATCTACTGCCAAAAAAAAAGAATTTGGGGGGGGGGGGGGGGATATGTATTGCTTCAACAAGCCAAGAAGAACCGACAGAGAACCACTGCATTAACATATTACAGCAGACGGTATCACAAACTCACTTTAAGCACGCGTGCAAATCTCAAGGTGCAATAAATCTGAATGCAAACTTCAAAAACAGAAATCATGACCAGAGAGCATGATACTAGAAGCTTTACCAGCCAACTCTCACTCGCATCTAGAGCAATGCAGCTAACACTGGAAACTTCCTTTAGACTCTCTCGCTTTGGAGATATCACCTGAACACACTTTCCATTTCGGCAGTCTAGGAGAAGATTTTAAAAATCAGTTCATATTAACTTCTTTTACAAAGTCACAAGAAAAAAATCACACAGCACTCAAGAAAAGGGCAAAAAAATTGTGCGCATCTTCCAGCATGACTAGAAATTTGCCATCATACCCCAAATTCTTGCTGTACCATCCTCTGATCCAGTTATGATCTGAAACCCAAACAGGAGCAATGAGATACAAACTTTCAGACAAATGTCAGTATCCTACTACATGCTATGAGGATTTCAAACATACAGATATAAGATATAACCTATCAATTTATATCAATCAGTGGCACTAATCAGGTTTGCAACTCTGCAATATGATAATAGTTTACTTTTTATTTTTATTCTTTTAATTTTAAAATAAAAAAAAGAGCTCAAAAGGGGACTTCACAAACAGTGAAGACATTTAAAATTTGGCATAAAATACTCTACCTGATTGCTGCCCGTTCGAGCAATAATGGAATGCAGATAGTCCAAATGTCCCCTAAACACAGTCTTAATCTTACTTGTCTCCTGAGAAAGATATAGAATGGACTAGTCAGATACAGAACAGCTAAAAGGAGTATCTGTCACATCAGATATCCTCAGCAGAGGATGAAACTAACAACGCACCAATACTTGGAATTTTAAACATAACCTCAAGTTAAGAAATAAAAAGAGAAAGTGAATATTAAAACATCTTATATTTCAATGAAAACTCATTGAAGAACAAATATACATGTTTCATGTGTTATTTAAGAAACAAGATAATTACCACATCCCAGCAGTATGCACAGGAATCACCAGCAGCAGCATATATGGATCCTCTCTGATATAGAAGAAAAAGAGAACAATAATATCATTGGAAAAGTGAAATGTATTGAGGTGTCAATAATATGAAGAAGAGATCAAATTACAGGGAGGGTGACTAGAAGCAAGCCAATTAGTCACTAAATAATTTACAGGAAGGGAAGATTCAATCAAGTTGCAAACTTGAATAATATAAGAAAGTAAAAAGTTTATACAACAGCACAGCCTATATTGTGATCCACAAAATGGCTGATGAATCTCCCTCTTTAATGTCTTCACTTTATCCAAGTTAACAGTCTAATAATACTCGTATGTAGTATGCTGATGTAATGGGAATTAGAAGGCATAATTTTAGGGCAACCCTGAATAGAAGTAGACACCAAAGTGGGATAGATAGAGTACAAAGAAGCCATCTTGTTAAGGCTCAATGACTTAACCATTGAGAAATGCAATCTTACCTCGGTTGGCAACTTGGCATAGGTTTGAATCAACAAATTGTCTTAATTAAAGATTGCCACTCAAAAAACCCATATTAACCTAACAACATCAGAAGTCAAGCTTTGATATTTGGACTCACCAAGTTGGCTGATGGCCCCACAGTTACTTGACAAGACATTACCTTGGTATGGACAAAAGATACGAGCCCGACTAGAGGAAAAGAAAATAGGCATGGCATTCATCAACTGAAATCAGACCTACCTCCTCTCTCTATAATCCCAAAACAGCCTAATTAATCATCCATTTCTCTAGTACCTCAGGCTCAATTTATTTATTTATTTATTTATTTCAATTTTAGTTGTACATTAGATAAAAATAAGTCAATTGACTAACCAGATGACAGAGAAGAAAGAAAATTGAGGAGTTTCCATCCTAAGCGAGAAGTGATTCATGTATTAACTTTATTTCCAATGGCTGTGCATATTGGCAGCTAGAGAGAAGAAGGTTGGCTTTTCCGCTAACAACAGAAAAGAAGGTGGCAGATGAGAGGGCAATGCAACATACAATAAAAGAGAAAGATAGGTGGGTGTATTGTGAGTGGATATGTGGGGAGGGGGAGGGGAGGAGCAAGTAAAAAAATAGTATGGTCAGGTTCATATGTCACAACTCTTTCTTATTGTTTTTTATCTTCTTTTTTCAAAAAAATATTTAATTTAGTCTGCACACCTATTTCTCATAACAACTTAATTTTTTTAACCACTTAGTTAATAAGTTAGAACAAACACACACAAAACAAAACCAAATCCTTGTTCCCAAAAGGATAAAGTTGCATGAACCAAGAATAAATTCAAGAATTCTTCCACAAATATTTCTTGTATACGCTCTATCTAGTGCTACATGCTCTTAGAAACCCCATTTTCATTGTCAAGCAATATTGATTAAATGTCATACTCGAAATACACACCCAAGAGGTCAAATCCAGCAACCATATTTGAGTTCAAACAAGCATCCCATTAAGGTGCAACAAGCATAGAACAGAAATATTGAAATGTATGTAGTTCAGTCCTGCCTTGAAAATTGGTATAGAGAGATAACGGTAACCATAATTCACAAGCCCCATCAATTTAAAAAACAACATTAACTGAAAAACAAACAAGACAATCATTTAAAAACCTGGTGGTCAACAGCAATTGCATTGTTCTCCGATATTGGAGATGTAGCATACCACGGACCCCTAGTACAAAATAAAGGAAAAAGTATTTAAGAATGAAATCAAGCATAAGAAAAGATAGAATTACCATGTACAGTTCGATTTTTTTATCTAAGGGAAGTCTATCAAATGGAAACGTGCACCAAGTATCAAAATGATAAGTGTTGCAAAGAGTTTCGAAGAAGAATATTATCATAAATTCAAAATCTATCTAGGAAGTAGGAACTATTGGGTTAATTCAATAGTTTTACTATTTATTGATATATGAGTATATGACACTTGGGTTTAAATGAAAATGATTTCTCTTGTTATCATCAAAACATACAAAGGAAAAGCTATTTGAACTCCCAAATAGTCTTCTTGCATGCACACTGTGAGAGCACACCATATCTATGCTCTCATGAGATAGATTGTAGAGTATATTTTGAATCCTCAAAACAAACACACACAAAGCCAAACAATGTTATGATGATAAATATGTGTTCATACATGTCAAGTAAACACAAGCAGTACAACTATATTATTTGCAAATTTTAATTTCGAGTAATACCTGTGCTGTGGATTCATCAAGTCTATAGAAGGTTTTACATGGGAGCCTGCACATACATCAAGAAAAACAGTGATTCTTAAGCCTCTGAATACATGAATTTAACCAAGCTCTATAAAAACATTAAAAATAAATAAAAATAGTGGGGAATTCAGCAAAACTAATTCCAGCCAAGACCCCTACCAGGCCATAGCTCATTGCTATTATTGTTTAAGCTAATAATGTCTGATTTTAAGCTGAATGTGCTTATTTTGAACACCCAGTTAGCATGTCAAACTTATTCTAGATTCTCAAGTGAAGGATTCAGTCTATATCTAGTGTAAAGTAGTCTATGCTATTGGCTACCATTTGAATTTCTAACAACAATTTCTTTTTTTGGTGTAGCAATACCATCTATTACAAGCAAAGTTATTCTGCTGAAGTGATAGCAGTATATTGTTAACCCACAATATTTATGGGAAAGAGCTACATTACTGCAATAATGCTTCGTGAACGTGATCCAACATTCAGAAACCATGACAGACACCTATAAAAGGTCAGAATCATGATTGGTCATTGATACCATTCAATGATACAACCAGTGTTTAACAAAGGTGGAGGCATACTAAGGTGATAGGGTCCTATTATGCCTACGTACGCCTTGGGTGGAGTTCAATGAGGCATAGTGTATAATTTTTTTTTTAGATGGTTGATGTGCACCCATAAGACTGTACCTAATCTAGATTTTATTTCAAAAAAAAAAAAAAAAAGAGTTATAACCAATCGCCTAGTGCCTAGGTCTCAACACATAAGCAAGCTTTTTCATACACTGGATACGACACCATCCTCAACTAATTCCCTCACCGCATTTCCAAGCACAATTCTAAAATCTAGAGCCTAGAAGGCACACTTTTTCACACACTAAATAACATTCACAATCCTTCCAAGCATAATTTTAATATCCGGTGGATAGTCAGATGCCTCCTTAGAACATACTCCGTAGATCGGAACCCCCATCCCCCTCCACAAATTCCCTGATTAAAAGAACTTACCATATGAATTTGATATACCCTTCAACCCCCCCCCCCCCCCAAAAAAAAAAAAAAAAAAAGAACTCTCACAAATCACTTCTCCAAGCCCCATGGAAAGAAAAAACTGAAAATCTTCCATACCCACCCCAACATCACAACCAGAATCGGTCATAGAACTCTGGCAGAAGTGACATGTCCTCTTTCCTCAATCCTAAAAACCACTATTATAAGTAACTCAGAGAAATCAAAGAATCACTACAGAAAGTTGTCCATGAGTTGAGGATACCATCACAGGGAGAGAGAGAGAGAGATGGAAAAAGATAAGTAATGTGTTATACGATGTTAGAGACTTCTATCAATCTCCAACCTGTCATTCATCTTTTGTGAACAGATGGAATGGCAACTAAGCTAATCAACCTACAATGAGCAGCTGCATCAGCAGATTCATTTTATCAGGAAGTTTGTTGAAATTGTCCAAAATTGTTGGCTTTCAAGAGGTAACAAAGTGTCAGTGTGTTTAGTGATTCATGTTTGTCAAATGAGCCCGATGCAACGATGCCTGCAGGTGCAATGATTAATTAAAGCAGCTACTTTTGTCACTATGCTCACTTAGTTTTCTTATTAATGCTAAGCTAAGTTTTGTTCTAGTTCAGTCCTGTTGGGTATCGTACTATTTTTCTAAGTTGTATTATGTATTGCTTACTTTTGGTCTCATTGTACTAGTTTTGGAATTGGTATTATATTGGGTTTCCTGGTATAAGAAGAGTTTCTTCTTTCAACACTTCCTAAAAGTTGGAGGACAGTAAATACTGATCCCTCTTAATTTCAATTGCCAAAAAAAGTCTATTTAACTATCAGTTTCTCCATAAAATAATAGAAAACACAATACACTTTGACCATTTTCACTACAAATGTTCAACAGTTAAATTTCCCCTTACACAGAAGAGTTTGCAAGACTTCATTGCTTATCAAATAGAAGCAGCAAGTTATTCATGTAAAAAGATTTCGCACAACCAACATGTTATCTAAGCCTAAGGAAGCAAGATACAATACCTTGTTTATGTATAGGTGTCTCTGACTCTTCAAGTTCCTTCCATTTCCAACCTCGTATCCGGCCATCATCTCCACAGCTGGATTGTAAATTCCAAAATTCATTCAGAATTTCTGAACCCATATCCTCATGTCACCATTCTGTATACGTTTAATGCATGCAAATGCAAAATCACACGGGAACAAAAGCAAGCTATTCATATAAATATGTCATTACATATTTATGATTGAAAACACATTCTACCCCTCCCCCCCCCCCCAACCCCATTGAAGAAATATGCTTTGGGATTCTAGGGTACAATACATATTTGATATTTAATATCCCCCTCCCCCTAATTAGTGTCATTAGTAATTTGGTAGGGTAATTAATCGTCAAAAAAAAAAAAGTTGGGTAATTTGAAGCAATTAGATCCTCTGTTCTATTATAAGTAATTCAAATTCAAATAAACTATTGAAATCAGAGAAGGGACTATACAGCCACATATCGTCATGTTCATCTACTGAACCAATAGTTACTCACTACTCGTATTCATAATCCTTTGAAAGAAAAGACTCTGAAGTCGGTAATGAATATGCTGATTTATAATCGAAATCATAGCAGCTTTCTGAAACTAGAACCAGACATTTTAGGTGATACTGGCAGAAGATTGATTAGCAAAAACTAAATACTTGAGCAAAGTTCATAATCATATTATGCTTCAAAAGTGACAATTGTGCACAAACACGAGTGTTACATTGTGCGGTTCACCTACATTGTTCTTTTTAACATGATCTATCGTAAATTAACATATAGCGCAATTACATGTAATAATAATACAAGTAACATTTTTCTATAAGTAATTGACAACTACCTTAATCCAACAAACATTGCCATTCACAACAAAACCCGAGCAAAAAAGGCATAAATTCAAGAAGACGAACCTCAACAACAAAGCATCATCATCATCACCGTAAAACTTAACATCATAAGCAGGACCCTCATGCGCTTGAAGAAAGCAATAAGGTTCAGCAGCAAACACTCTATAATCCAAATTTCATAAAATCAATAATCACATAAATATAACACCAATACAATCATCAAAAACCAAAACTATCCTCAAATTGTTCAATAAATCATCAACAAAAATAAATCAAACTCACTGTTGAGGAGTCGGGACACCATAGCGCGATTCCTGCAAACAAAAACCAAAAATTAACTGCAAAATTACATGAAATAGAAGAGAAAGATTGAATTTAAGCAGAGAATGAAGCGTACAATGGAAGAGAGTATGGAGGAGAGAGAATAAGCGGCAACTGAACCATCACTTGAAGCAGCAACAACAATGTCGGGATTAGGGTTAGGGTTTGAAGGAGCAAAAATGGCACGAAAAACTGTTCGACATTGAGTTTCTCTTTCATGGAGGATGGTGTTCCTGTAAGCATCTTCGTCCCAGTTGGTAGCATCCATCACCATTGTTGGTTATTGTTCAGTTTCTTAATTTTCAGTCTAATGCATGTTCGTTTTCTACTCTTCTATAGTCCTACACTCCTACTATAGTAAAACAAAGGGTGCCAATTCAGGTGTCCGGATCGGGTTTGGTGAGGTCGGATCGAGTTTAGTTGGGTCAATTTATAAACTTGAGTATTGATGAGTCATGCTACATTATTGTGTCCACACTAGTCCAAATATGAATCGAATATTTTTCGAGTCGATTTTAAATCGGTGTGGTTTTGACATTTCATTTGTAAGGCCTTTTAAAATTGACAATGTCTACAGGCATGTTGGGCAAAAATAGTTTGTACAAGTATTAACGTTTGGTAAAATTTGATGTTTAGTTTAGTGAAAATTGAGGAAGGTTAAAAAGTCGTGTTTGGTAAAACTAACGAAAATTTGTTGTTTGATTGAGTCAAAATCGAGGAAGGATTTCCTTCCACCATAAGGTTGAGTAATCTCTAACATAATAAATTTATTTCATGTCATGTTGTCGTGTAAAGTCAGCTTTTATAGGCTGTTTAAGAGATAAGATGTGACCCGATGTTGGATACTGTATGTTTCTTAGAGGCTTAGAGCCTTCTACGTGCTTTCCAAGCGCCTTCCAAGCTCGATAGCTAAGTAAGTTAACAGTGACTATTAATGAGTAGAGGTTGAGAGCATTATAACATCAAGACACCAAGTCAAAGTCAATGTTAGGAACACTGATATCATCAATAATTGTAGAAACTATTTCACAAATATCATGATATTACTTTCCTAAGTAGAGTAGGCATGAGATTAACTATTCAATAGGAATAGAAGATTGACTGATAGAATTACTCTTCATTTCTATTTGTGATTCCTGATAATAAAGTCTAGAAATGGAAAGTCTCCTGACCCCTTTGGTTAGCTTTACTGACAGTGTATATATGTCAATAGCTAAAAGGGTAAATCATTATAAGAATTTCCATCAGAGAATCCAGGGAATGGTGGAAAAACTTGAAGAGCTGAAGGATACAAGGGATGACTTGAAGAGGGAGATTGAACGAGCCGAGTTCCAGGGATTGATGAGCACTAAACAGATCAAAGGATGGCTGGAAAGAGTAGAAAAGGCGGAAGCTGAGGCAAATTTGATTCTTGCACAACCTATAAAGCAGTTAATATGCTGTAGACAGCCAAGTTGCAGATCAAGATACAGACTCAGCAAAAAATTCTTGCAGAAGGAAGCAGAAATTAGTGAGCTGATCACTAAAAAAACAACTCTGGATGTCCTTGTTCAAGGCTCGTCGCAGATTGACCCTGTACCGTGTGTGCCAACTGTTGGCTTGAATTCAGCTCTGGAGATGGCAGTCCAAATCATTGCAGATGATGAAGCTGGAATGATTGGAATTTACGGAATAGGAGGAGTTGGGAAGACAACACTCTTGAAAGAGATCAACAATGAGTATATATCAAGGACTGATGAATTTGAGGCGGTGATTTGGGTTACAATCTCCCAGGATTTTAGCCTGGAAAGGATACAACGCGCTCTTATCTCAAGGTTGGGCTTGTCTTTTGATGCAGCAGAATGTCAAGAGCAGCTAACTTCAAGGATATACAACTTCATGAGGAGGATTAAGTTCTTGCTCCTGCTTGATGATTTGTGGCAAAGACTTGATCTTGAAAATATAGGGATACCTTTGCCTGACAAGACAAACAGATGCAAAGTGGTATTCACAACTCGCTCTATGGATGTTTGCAGTGATATGGATGCAAATACAAAGCTGAAGGTTGACTTCTTGAACGAGGAGCATTCGTGGTGCCTCTTTTGTGAGAAAGCGAATCAGACAGATATAATCAACAACTCTGATTTAAAGCCTTATGCTGAAGCCATTGTCAAGAGATGCGGGGGTCTGCCACTTGCTCTTATCACTATAGGAAGGGCCATGGCCAACAGGAAGACGGAGGAGGAATGGAAGTATGCAATCGAAGCACTGGACAATGCCCCATCAGAATTGCGAGGTATGCAAGATGTTTTTACCATACTGAAGTTTAGTTATGAAAATTTGCAAGATGATACTTTGAAGATGTGCTTTTTGTATTGTGCTTTATTTCCTGGTGACTATCCTCTTGAGAAAGAACAACTCATAGATTATTGGATTGGAGAAGGATATTTAGATGGCTCAAATGAAGATAGTCTCCATAACAAGGGGCATGCTGTCATTGGTTCTTTGAAGGTTGCGTGTTTGCTAGAATGCGGTGAAGATGACACCCAGGTTAAAATGCATGACATTGTCCGAAGCTTTGCTGTATGGATAGCATCAAATGAAGGAAAGAACAAGGAGAAGGTTGTGGTGCAAGGTTGCAGTGGACTATCGGAATTGCCAGATGTTAACAAGTGGAAAGTTGCTGAGAAGATTTCGTTGTTGGGTAATGAGATAATTATCCTATCAGCAGGGCCTGCTTGCCTTAACTTATCATCTTTGTTGCTACATTGGAATCGTAGTTTAAGCAAAATCTCTAATGAATTTTTCCATTATATGCCGGTCCTTAAGGTGCTGGACTTATCAGTAACTAGTATCAAAGAAGTTCCAGCAAGTATTGGTCAATTGGTTGAGTTACGATATCTTGATCTGTCAAGGACTAAGATAACTGCACTCCCAGAAAACATAGGCCGTTTATCAAAGTTGAGGCACTTGGATTTGCAGCGAACTGATTCACTAAGAAAGATTCCGAGAAAGGCAATTTTACAACTTAAGAATCTGAGGGTCCTAAATTTGTATTACAGTTATGGAGAATGGGATATGTCACACGATGAGGGTGAAGGGCAGATAAAATTTGAAGACCTGCAACATTTGAACCTAACTGCTCTCGGTATTACCATGACAGAACTCTCTGCCTTGACAAAGCTTTCTAGTTTCTACAATATATTAGACTGTATTCAGTACTTTTTTATTAAAGGATGTGAAGGATTGATCTATCTGATGGTAGCAACTGTCTATGGTGGCGGAGAGAGATTAAGACGGCTAAACATCTATGACTGTTGCACTTTGAAAGAAATAGACTTGGGCTCGGAAGCTGGGAAAGATTGGCTTCCAAGCCTGGAAGTTTTAACTTTACATGCTCTTCCCAACTTGACTACCATCTGGAGGAACTCTGCATCTCCAAAATGTCACAAAAATCTTCGCTACATTAATATTTGGTATTGCCCCAAGTTGAAGAATGTTTCCTGGATCCTTCAACTCCCAAGGCTTGAGAAACTCTATGTATTCTACTGTGAAGAAATAGAAGAAATAATAGGAGAAAACGACGTTACAGGAGGATCATTAGAGCTACCATTCCTTAGTCTTAAGACTATATCTTTCCGAGGACTCCCTAAATTGAAGAGTATTTCCAAAGTAGCACTTTCCTTTCCTGTGCTAAACACAATTGCTCTGATTGAGTGTCCACAGCTTAAAAAGCTACCATCTGCAGCATATAACTCGTCAGATTTTCCGATAGTGTACTGCAGCAAGGACTGGTGGGAGAACTTGGAATGGGATAATGTTGCTGCTAGCTCTGCCTTACATCCCCAATTCATAGCAATTTGATTGCGCGTCATCAGAGTTATATCACTTTGTTTTAATCATCAACTGATTTTTTGTAACACAGCTATTCAAATTCTGTTCTGAACATCTAGAAGTACAACTTGTCTGAGGTTGCTTGATATAGGCCAATTGCCTAATAACTTCAGAAGAGTTATATCACTTTGTTTTAATCATCAACTGATTTTTTGTAACACAGCTATTCAAATTCTGTTCTGAACATCTAGAAGTACAACTTGTCTGAGGTTGCTTGATATAGGCCAATTGCCTAATAACTTCAGAAGGGGAAAAACTAATTCAGACTTTGATTAACTGTATTAAACAGCTTATTTTTATACTACTTATCAGTCAGTCTGAAGATTGTAATCCAATCTACCTTCACTCCATTTATATTTTCATGCTTGGGCGTGTTGTGCCACTGTTGTATCATCGCTTGTAACAACAAAATCAGTACATCTAGGAAGGATGGTAAGCTCCATCACATCCACTCTCGAGCATTTTTCATAGACACGTAAACATAGAAGTAACAAAGCATTTGAGAATAATCAACAAATGATTACTTTATAATCTTTCTGTTTTGGTATTGTTATGCTCATTATGTTGTTATGTGATATATTTGCAGAGTAACATATATACCATATAGATTTTTTTACTCAAGCATCCATAGAAAAGTAGTACTATTTCACAAAATACACTAATGCTTTCTATGTATGATTGTAACATTTGTAAGGTATACTTTTTTTTTCATTCTTTGATGTTAGGCTGTACTTCAATAATACAATGTACCTAAAGTGGAGACATCTCATAGACGTTATGACTTTGTATTTATTGAACTAAATAGACTTCTTTTGTCCCTAAATAGTTGTTCCATTTCTATTTTTATCCTTCCCTTTAAGTTTGTCCTATATCATTTTTTACTGTAAAGGTCACAACTTTACTCTCATAATCACTACATCTAACCCTCGCCACTTTTCTCTCTCACAATCACTACAACTAGCCCCCTGCCACTTTTCTCTTTCATCAACCCAATTCAACTAAAAATAAGAAAGTAACTCCACCCCTTTAGAGCAAATAAAGTAAGGGTAAGATTTATGTGTAATTTTGTTGGGAATATCTCATCACAATTCACAAATGTCTTATTATGTTTCCCTATCTTTAAAGAAGTGGTTTTCTTATTAATTTTCATTCGAGGGAGGATTGCCCAATTTTGGTCTTGTAATCCTAAATTGATCTCTCTCAGCTGTTATCTGCCTTGTCCTAAACCAAGCATATGTAATTTGCAAATTTCTCTTCGTATTAATGTATACATATATTTTGGAATTCTTTTTTTTCAATAGCATATTTTGGAATTCCATACTAACTATACCCTTTGTTTTTTACTCAATTGTTTATTGGAAACTGAATCAAGAATTCACTCTCAAGATTTGACTGTATTATCCTTCCCTAACCCCATGCTGGATTAAACAATCAAATACGCTCTAAAACCACCAGTCAAAAACAATCACATATCTTTTGTAGGATGTGTGTATTAATTACCTGGTCGATTCGTGGCGAAAACATAAGTCATTTTGACCCTTTCACCTTGTGTAATGGAGAAAAATAAGTCACAAATTTAGTAAAATTTCCTAAGAAATCCTAACACTTGATTAGAATTCTAGCGTTTATGTAAAAGTGCACACTAAAAATAAAACAAAATCAACAATAAATGACTCTTGAACTGGATTAGTAGCACAATGCTAATTTAGAAAAAAAAAAAAAAAAAATCACATAAAAATGGACAAAACTAAGAGATGCAATTTTCATGATCTTCCAACTACGATTTATATTTACACACTTAGATGATACAGTCATCTGTGCTGCTCACTAAGAAAATTTCAACTGCAATTTGTTCTCTAACACAACTAAGGAGCATGCTGCAGCACTGCAGCTCCTGGAGAGACAAGAAGCTGCGAACTATGCACTACGTTCCAACTTTATGCTGAGGAACATGCTATTGTTGCATATTTACTCAAGAAACTGTTGTTGATATCGGTTCAATATGTAAATCCCACTCTGACATATCATGCAACAAGGAGTTCACCACAAGTACCTGCAACCAAAAAATAGAAGATGAAGGACTGCATAAGCAGAGAAGGGAACAAATGAAGAGCTTAAAAAATGGAGCTTTACATCTTTCAAAGATCTCTTTTGCCATCTGCAGAACTGAATCTGTTTCTTCTGCCAACTTTAAGAATTTCTCCAAATCCTTCACAGCTTCAGCTGCTATTGATGAAGTGTATTCTGCTTCAACAACCTTGTAGGCTGCAGTCTTTGCTGCTTCTTCTACCGACTCACCAGCCTTAGAATAGACAATGGGTGGATGCTGTCTGGCCCAGATGCCTTTCTGACCGCTAGCATTTGTCTCCAATGTATTATTTTTAAGCCTGAAGTGGCTATCAACCTGCAATCCCAAACCATACAGATTTCAACCAGGGCACTATGCAGGCACTCTAGTCAAAAAGACAACAATCATCATATTTACATCCTACATCCCAACTACTTGGATATACCCCTGTTCAAATTTCTCAGCATAGGTCACAATTAGTAAATACAGAGAAGGTTATGTTCTTGGAATATTTTACAGATGGGTATAAGGGGGAAAACACACACACACACACAAATATCATTAAGAATGTGAGTGCTTGCTGCTTATCTTATCAAGAGAATGACGAATCTACTTGCATAACAATCCAAATCTCATTAATTTCTTTAAAGTGGTTGGTTGCAACTTGCAAGTATGATAAAGAGAGATTAAATGGAATTTAAAAATACAACTGAGGCACGTGCCTTGTACCATTGTAAGTTCTGCAACTTTCTAATTTTTATCTAAGAGCAGCATAATAAACAGAAATGAGAAATGCAGTGAAATGATGTGTTTATTTTATATAATATTTTACCCCCTTCTCTTGGTCATAATTAGTAGTGTTTTTGGCTCTTTAGAGCCACTTTTATTACTAATTGGTGTTTTCTAGTGTTTTCGTAGATTTTGTTGACTTTTGTAGGGATTTGCACTTTTGGAGTATTTTCCCGAGATATTATGGAGCAATTACGAGCATTGGAGAAGCACGACCAATTTCTGTAGCCTAGGGCCGGTTAGAGCCATCAAACCGGTGATTAAGGGCTCGGTATATATGATACCGGGGCATTTGGACCGAGTATTTAAGACCTGAAGAGGAAACCCAGATTGGCCCGAAGAATTGGAGCCCAATCGTAGTCCAAATAGTGCCCCAAGAGTGCCGCCCGGCCAAAGAGGCTGGCGCCCGGAGGCGCGCCCGGCCGCGCGAGGGAAGCAAAGGCTAGCGCCCGAACTCGCGCCCGGCCGGGCGCGAGATTCATACTTGGAGGAAAAAGGCGTGCCCGATCGGGCGGTGCCTCGCCCGATCGGGCGCGTGTTATTGTTAGGAGACGATTAGCGTCGTTTAAGTTTGTTTTAGTTTAGGATTCTTACGGAGTATAAATACTTCTCCGTAAAACGAGTTTAGGACCTTCTTTGACCTTCTTTTACTCTCTCTTAATTATTTTTCTTAGATTTTCTCTCTCTACTTAGCTTTGAGATTAGTTTCTCTCTCTTATACTTTGTTCTTAACTCTATTCTTAATTCCAGATTTATTTTGGTAACGATTTCTCTTCTCTTAATCTTAGTAATTTATTTTATTCCTTTGATCATGTTTTGTTTTATTACTTTGATTTGTTTAGTTTTAATTATGTGTGAGTAGTTTTATTTCTAGGGTTTGTGGGGATCCATAAATAATATGAAGGGGTAATTTATTGTTGTTAATTGTCAATGCTAGATTAATTTCCTATTGATGGATTTAATGTTATGTGACTAGATTTGCGCAGATCTTTTATGCATGAGTTTAACATTATTGATTCGAGATTCGACATATGAGAATTGAAATTTAGGTCTAGTTTCAATAGGCAAGTTAATTTATAAATGGTTGAATCGAGATTCGAAAGATGAAATTTAATACCGGTAAATTAATTGTGTGATCGTAATACGTAGCGAAAGCCCTTTATGATCTGATTAATGTATGCATTGATGATTGATTATTATGTTTTGCCCTGGAATATTATTTATTGGTGAACATATGCCTTTGATCCTTTTATTCATTGTTTTCTCTTTATTCTTAATGTTCGTAGTTTAGTTTAATATCCAAATTTACATATTGGTTACTTTATAATTTAGATTACTTTAATTAATCAGGAATAGAAAGACTCATTTCTCTGTGGATTCGACCCTATTTCCCTATCTACATTAGTTAGAGGATTTAGGAAAAAAAAAAAAAAGAATTACTTTTGATTAGGGGATACGACTTTACCCTGTCAAAATTTGGCGTCGTTGCCGAGGAAACGGTTTTATTTTTGTTTCTGATTATTTTTGTAGTCTAGGTTATTTCTTTTGGCAAATCTCATATTAGCTTTCTTATATATGAAAAATACAAAAAAAATGAAAAATAAAAAAATTCAAAAATACGTTCAAATAAATTATAAATCATGCTTCCCTGTGCCCCTTACTTGAGAAAATTTGTTTTAATTCTTGGGTATATGATGATAAATATTGTGGATTAGTTAATCATGATTTGATGTTTGATTGCCTTGGAACCTTAACATGAGTCAATTTTGCCCAACTATTTGTGAATATAGTGCTTGACTAGTTGATTTGGTTAGGAATGTGTGTTAGTTCCCGGTATGTCAATGAATTTGAGTATTGGTTTGCAACTATAAGTAATGTTTATATGACTTATTATTATGCATATTGTGGAGGACGAAGGCGTTCATTCTTTTAGGTAGCCTCCAAATGATTGTAGATACATTTGTTCCCTTCTTGCTACCCATGTTGTTGCATTGACTTTTTGTTGTTTATTAGCCACATTACAAGCCTATTTTGCCCCACTGGTTACTAGTCCCAAGCTTGGCTTGGGGGAGCTATTAGTGAGTGAGGTGAGGGAGTTTGTAGTGTGCTTATTATTTGCACAATTTGGGTGGATTTTTGAGAAGTTATTTTGTTCTTGATCATGTTTATTTTTGATGAGTTTAAAAGTTATATTTTCTAGGAAAAAATAAAGCATGATGTTATGAAAAAAAAAAAATGAGAAGTTCAAAAAAAAAATGAGAAAAATAAGTGAACTTCAATAGGGAAAAGAGCAAAAAGAGAAAAAGTGTTCAATGTTCAAATGTTCTACGATGGAGGTTGATCAAAAGGGAAGAAAAATTGAGCTTCTATGAAAAATTCAAATTTGGAAAATAAAGTTGTTTATTCACTCCAGTTCTTTATTATTATATCTTATGAGTGAAATTGTAAGAGTTGGGATTGTTTATTATGATAAAAGTATATTTGATTTTTGTTAGAGTTGGTTATGTAGGAGATGTTGATCATTATTTATTTTGATCATGGGTTTTACTAGGATTTGGCTCCCTTTAAGCATAGCTTTTCTCTTACTTGTTCCCAAATGATTCCTACCCTTTACCCTAGCCTTACATTACAAGCTTTAAAGACCTTCCGACCTTTGTGCATAGAGTTGTATGAATGTGAAAGTGTAGTTTATCAATGCAAGTTATGATTTGACATATTTCGAGTCGACTAGTAGGTTGGAGCGTACATCTTTTTAAACACACGATAGTGTGAGTTGGGAGGGCATTGTTCACATAAAGGGGTTGGTTGGAGAGCGATCGAGTACATCTTTTACTCGCCACATAAATGAGAGTTGAGTGTGTGAGCACTAGTCTTGAATTCTATATGCTCTTGTGGTTTGCTCTATTTGACAATTGTTAGGAAGGAGGGGTAATTTGATGGATTTGATTGCTTAATTTTGAAGCATGTTTATTTGATTTACCCTGAATTGTTTGTGCTTTAATTTTACTTTTTGGGGTGAAGCATATTTATTTATTCATTGATGAGATCTTTGCTTAGAAACAAACAAAGGTTTGGCATGGGGGAGTTTGATGTGTCTATTTTATATAATATTTTACTCTCATCCCTTGGTCATAATTAGTAGTGTTTTTGGCTCTTTAGAGCCACTTTTATTACTAATTGGTGTTATCTAGTGTTTTCGTAGATTTGGTTGACCTTTGTAGGGATTTGCACTTTTGGAGTATTTTCCCGAGATATTATGGAGCAATTACGAGCATTGGAGAAGCACGACCAGTTTCTGTAGCTCAGGGCCGGTTAGAGCCATCAAACCGGTGATTAAGGACTCGGTATATATGATACCGGGGCATTTGGACCGAGTATTCAAGACCAGAAGAGAAAACCCAGATTGCCCGAAAAATTGGAGCCCAATCGTAGTCCAAACAGTGGCCTAAGAGTGCCGCCCGGCCAAAGAGGCTAGCGCCCTGAGGCGCGCCCGGCCGGGCGATGGAAGCAAAGGCTAGCGCCCGAACTCGCGCCCGGCCGGGCGCGAGATTCATACTTGAAGGAAAAAGGCGCGCCTGATCGGGCGCATGTTATTGTTAGGAGACGATTAGCGTCGTTTAAGTTTGTTTTAGTTTAGGATTCTTACGGAGTATAAATACTTCTCCGTAAAACGAGTTTAGGACCTTCTTTGACCTTCTTTTACTCTCTCTTAATTATTTTTCTTAGATTTTCTCTCTCTACTTAGCTTTGAGATTAGTTTCTCTCTCTTATACTTTGTTCTTAATTCTATTCTTAATTCCAGATTTATTTTGGTAACGATTTCTCTTCTCTTAATCTTAGTTATTTATTTTATTCCTTTGATCATGTTTTGTTTTATTACTTTGATTTGTTTAGTTTTAATTATGTGTGAGTAGTTTTATTTCTAGGGCTTGTGGGGATCCATAAATAATATGAAGGGGTAATTTATTGTTGTTAATTGTCAATGCTAGATTAATTTCCTATTGATTGATTTAATGCTCTGTGACTAGATTTGCGCAGATCTTTTATGCATGAGTTTAACAATATTGATTCGAGATTCGACAGATGAGAATTGATGTTTAGGTCTAGTTTCAATAGGCAAGTTAATTTATAAGTGGTTGAGTCGAGATTCGAAAGATGAGATTTAATACCGGTAAATTAATTGTGTGATTGTAATACGTAACGAAAGCCCTTTATGATCTGATTAATGTATGCATTGATGATTGATTATTACGTTTTACCCTGGAATATTATTTTTTGGTGAACCTATGCCCTACATCCTTTTATTCATTGTTTTCTCTTTATTCTTAATGTTCGTAGTTTAATTTCATATCCAAATTTACATATTGGTTACTTTATAATTTAGATTACTTTAATTATTCAGGAATAGAAAGACTCATTTCTCTGTGGATTCGACCCTACTTCCCTATCTACATTAGTTAGAGGATTTAGGAATTACTTTTGATTAGGGGATACGACTTTACTATGTCATGACACACGTGCATAATAACTGGAAAATAGACATTATGTATAAAACCTTGACTCTTTTTCCAAAGAAGAGAAATTAGCTAATTAAAAGTTAAAGTTTTACCTTCTCGAGTTTATCCTGAGAACAGAGTCTTCTCAACCTTGCCCCCAACTGTTTCCTAAAATTTTGCGGTACCGGAACATCACTCCTTTTCTGCACAAATTATATATAGGAAAATGAAATTAGTTTATTTACACAAGTGAATGTCAAAGGTTTCGATAATAACATAAGATTATGAAATCCTAAGGAAAACTATATCCATAAAGTTAATGCATTTAGGTTCTTGATAGAGTTCCACTTCTCAACCAACAGATATTACTATGGTAAATATTTAATTAGCTACAACCTCAAGAAGTTTTTTGGCTTCACAATAATATGGATATGTTGTGCGGTATATTGCTCTCCCACAGTATGATGGAGACTGGCTAGTCAGAAATCTAATTATAGCCAGTAGACACAACAATATCTAACCACACTCATCCCTTTTCTTTTAACCATAGTCATGGACAATTTGAAAAGTTCAATTCAAGATTTGATTACATGGTGCATGATATTTGCGGATGATATTGTGTTAATTAATGAGATGAAAGAAGACGTGGAAAGTAAGTGGGAATTGTGGAGACGAACTCTATCAAGGCTTTAAGCACAGCAGAAGTAATAAACAGAATTAGGAATGTAAGTTGTTAGGCAAAGGTGTGACCCTTCTAGAGAACCTAGATGGTCATAACAATGTCATATCTGAGTACAAAACTTTTGGCGGATCCAAGAAGCATATCCCTTCAAAACTTTTTGGCCACCCAATTAAAAAGATACGATGACATACTTTTTTTTTGTTGGGGGGGGGGGAGTAAGAGAAAATTTGGTCAATAAAGGAACAAAACACTACAGATAAGGAGAGGACCAGAATTCCTCTAACATCAAGATGTCACACAAAACAGAACTTTATCCAGTTAGTTCATTCAAAAGGTACATGGATCAATCGTAAAAATATTGTCCCATAAATCCACAATAAAGTCTAATTAGGTTCCCAGTCCTATCCAGCTAGGAAAATGTCACATAAAACAGAGTGCCAACCATTTGGTACATCCACATGGACATTGAAATTAATTGTAACATGGGTTTAAAGAGAAACATGTCAAACTAATTTAGCTACAATGAAGTTCAATTAGATTGCCAGATTTCTGAAGGTTCAAGCAGTCCTCTCTAATAATAAAAAACCAAACCCATCATGTCTCGTAAATCTCACATAAGATACTTGCAGATGCTGAAAATCAGCCTCCTCTATTTGCAACTATGTTAATTTTTTTTATTAGAAAGTATCTTTGTAAATTTATGAAGAGAGAAAACAACAATAAGACAAGGTATTTGAAATGGCCAAAGTGTGGACTTGGATGTGATGCATTGAAGTTTCTTTAGTTTCACAGCTTACTTTGAGAGACCAAAACCATTTCTGGCACAGGTATAACACAGGGTACAACACCAACACAGCAACAGACCTAAGTAACAAAGAAACATACAATCTTCAAAAACAAGACACGCAACTACGAGCAAGGTGAAAATAATAGCTTTGCTTTCACAAACACATGGCACGAGAATTAGGCAACAAACTTTTTCTCATACTCCAGAATCTGCATTTTCCATACAAAAATCTTCAAAAATCTTCAAAATTAACAACCTTCCGAGATGGGTGAAACTTAGACCTCTGAACATCTCCCAATCACGTTGTGAACTCTGAAAGTGTGATAGGAAGGATCCAACAAAAAGATAGACTCTAAATATACCCAACAGATTATCCCATAGATCTCTATTTTGTAATTTTACCTAAAATGGAAGAAGATTACCCCAAAATAATGATAGAAACCATAGAGGCAAGAACAGTACAGAACAAGGTATAAGACTACTTTCCACACCAATTTTTTTTTTTTTTTAAATGAATGTGAACTACTAAACTCCCATTCCAACCACGTAGACACAGGAAAGAAAATAATGAGACTATATAAAGATACAATACCTTTGTCTTATTTGTTGGTTACGCTTTCTACTTATGCCCAATCCTTTTTATTGGCAACACTTTTGCTTTATTTCCTACTACCTCCGTTTCTTTTTAGTTGACACGTATTCCTTTTTAGGAAGTTTTTTTTAAGTTGACACGTTACCTTTTGGGGTAAATTTTTTACCTTGCATTTACAAGCTACCCCCACTTGCTTTTTCATTCTCTCTCACTCTCTCTCCTCTCCTTAATATATGTGCCTAAATCAAACGCGTCAACTAAATAGAAACGGAGGAAGTATTTAAGTAAACTTATTATTACACAAACCCCAATTACATCACTCTCTACTGCTTTTAACTAAAATATACATACACCCCTACACTCCCTCCTCTCCTACCCTCTTTCAGTTCGATGTTACTAGTAAATGTAACTATCATTTAGTAACGGAGGTTTATAAATTGATATATAAAGAATAAGAGTGTGAAATCCTGCTACAGAATCCCATTAAATCTTTTTGAAGTTCATATTTTTCTTCTATTAAATATAGCCCTAAAAAGAGGGGAAGTGTTTAGAGCATCATAATATGGGTTGAAGATAATATTTGAGCATATGACATGTATAACAGCAGTATGCAGACAAAATTTTACAAGCAAATGCTTTCTGGTTATGTTGGAGCTTGTGTCAAGTGTATACTATCAAATGTCTGAAGATGTTAACCAGACCCCAAAAAAAAAAAAAAAAAAAAAAAAAAAAAAAAAAAAAACTTCCATCCTTCTTCATTTGTCATAGTTTAGATTATGTAAAAAGTAATTTGCTTTATATTTTGTAGTGAATAAAAAAGTGCTTTACATAGTGCTCACTATCTTGATCATAACTTTTACCAATCCACAATGATTGATAAGGGTAATACTTGGTATACAATGGAAACATTTAGAAGTGATAAATAATACAGGGTACATGCTTGTAAAAAGTGCCACAACCCACAAGAGCTTGATTTCAAAGACACCACAGCACATAACTTCTGAATAGTTATAAAATGCTCCCTATCCAGCTTGTATTAATATGGATATCCGGCCAAACCACAAACTACATATTCATCACAAAATTACAAGACTTGTACCCATTTAGACTATGGATTCTTCTTTAAAATTATTATCTAGGATTATAAATTATGTGGAAATGAGAAGCATAAATACTACTTTTGTTCCTAAATGTTCTTTAGAGCACTCACATCAGTGAGCAATTTTTTGCTCAAGAGCAAAAATGGTGAGCAAATTTGGTAGAAATGATACTACATCAATGAGGAAAATGAAAAATGCTCATGAGCAATTCAATTATTTTTTGATCACTAATGGGATAAAATTTCCTCACCAAAAATACTCATGAGCAAATTGGTTGGGAAGAGAGAGAAAGTGGCTAGAGAGAGAATGAGCAATTTTTTTTTTTTTTGCTCACTAATATGAGTGCTCTTACGATTACTAATTGGACAAGGGAAAAAAAGTGTGTTAAAGAGAAAATTCTTATGTGGACTTGGTTCACAATAATATTATTATGGACCACAGCTCCATACATGTGGCCTTGATTATTTATATTAACCAATATTAAAATGTTAATTAACTTATGAGTCATGAGTTCATGACCTTTATTGTAAAACAATAACTTTTATTTGAACATAGTGTGTTAGTGACCTTTTTTTTAACATATTGAACTATATTTTTATTACTAAACAACAAAAGAGCCTCTAATATTAGTGGTCCACAATAAATTAATGTAAACCAAGTCTATTTAAGAGTATATAGGGTTAATGTAGGTAATGCGTGGGACAAGAAAAAAGGGGCAAGAGGTTGGTCCTTGTGTAGGATAAGAGGGTGAAAGCATAACAATTCATAATATATGGTATAAAGAAAAGTGTAAAGAATAAAAAGGAACAGAAATGTGGAAAACGTAATAAACATTAAAGAATGGAGGTAGTATATGATATGTCAGCCTATGTCATCTTGATATTTTTATTTTTATTATTATTATTATGTATCTTCTACAAGATTATGAAGTGAAATATTCCATGCCATACTCTAAGTTCTATATGATTTTGACATTCATAATGCATGTTCAAAGAAAATAATAGCATAATTTTCTACACTAAAGAGAATTCGAATAATACATCAAAACAGCGAGTGCTATATGAATTCTTGACTCGAAGAAGGAAGAGTAGCAGCAGAATTAGATCATCAAAAAAACAAAGCATGATGCAAGGTTCACCTCATAGAATGTGCAATACTGCAAATAAGAGAAGAGAATGATAGGAAGGAAAAAAAGAATCTGCTGGAACACACCTCAATATGAGCTAAAATTGAACCAATATCCATTCCATTTTGTTCTTCAAGGGCTTCAAAGATCATTTCATTATACCTGTTACAGGAGCAAAAGAGTCAGATTGTACACAATTCATCACAGATACCTAATAGATTCACTAGCAGCTGTTTCCTTCCAAATAAAACAATCCATTTTGCATATTTGAATCACAATGGCCCAATGTATTGTCCAGATGAAAGGTCTTTTACTTACTGGACTCAGCCACTACAGCAACTAACAGTCTTAACACTATTATTTATGATGATTCCTACTGCATAAATACCCAGCCTCCTGCTCATTCAAAACTCAAAGCTGCTGGTGTCTAGAGGTACCAAGCCGAATCTCTAGTTTAATTGCCAAAGATCCTACCTCTCATAATCATCTTGGAATCAACCATCTTCACAGAGAATGAAATTCTTTCATAGTTTTCGGATGCAAATTCCTTCCAAAATGAACATCCACTCGTTCTAGAAATAAAGAGGGGCCCATTTCGATAACAATCAGCCTCTTGATGAGATATCTTTTCATCTAGCTTGATATAGAAAACATGGCTGAATACAAGCTAACTAAGGAGTTTTTTTTCCCTCGCAGAAGCAAAGGGTAATACAATTCACAGAGTTTTTTAACAGAGGTCATCTATAGAATATGATGATTGTGATCAGGGTAGCTGAGAAGAAACCCAAGTTCCTGCCAATCCCTGCTTCCACAGTTTAAAGTGAGAGCAATTGTTATCTGAGTTTGGTTGTCCATGGCAGATAATACAAACTATACATAGACATGAATATTAAGGAGTGGCACAATGGTAGTGACTTCTCGACAGAGAAATTTAGGCATATTCGCTGGCAGAAAGGAATTTGATCAAACCTTATCCAGCAAGTTTTTTTTTTTTTTACACAGTTTTGAAATAGTCATTGTGGACAGAGATAGGCAGATAGCAGAAAATATTCATATCAATCTGAGCAAAAAAATCATGACCAGGAAACAGCTAGTTCAAAACAAGACCCTTAATATTTTACAACTTGACCTTGTGAACGAATGTGTTGATAAGTAGATCTAGGGTTATCATAGTCCCAGATCAAAATTAATAGTGTTAGAGTGCAATCTGCCAGATCTTACCCAGATTTCATAACTGTTTTGGTGCCATGTCATGTCGACATAAGTATGTGAAGAAAACTTTCGAGTCTGTTAACATAGGTTACAAGTATAATAGAAAAAAAATATTCCGATAAACACCCACAATCTTGAAAAATTTTATATTTACTAGTACCTGGGACCGTTTTTTGCATCAGGCAAGTCCTTGCCAAAATCATCCTTGACATGATCAGCTGGTGATTCATGTACGACAGGCGCATGAACAGTAGGAGCCTGCACAGGGACAGAAGGAGCAGCAGGAGCCTGCATGGGGACAGAAGGAGCAGCAGGAGCATCTTGAACAGGCTTTGGCTTCGGAGGCCTTAGTTTGTCCCTAGAGCCTTGAACTGCAGCACTCATGTTCCTCCATTTGTCCTGTGTCAGCAATACAACATATTAATTTATCAAACCTAATTGATACTAGTGAATAATTCTATCAAACACAGAATATACATCGACGCAGCAAGTAAATGAATTATGGACTAACAGTGTGTTTATATAAAGGAAGGGGAAGGAAAAAAAGGGGTGGGGAGAGGAGGGGGGGGGGGGGGGGAAGAATGATGAGTTTTCTTTCCAAATTTCTTACAATGCCTCCATTTGCCTCCCCTCCAACTCCCTTCCTTCCTCATTTGTTATCCAAACGAAAAATAATCCATCCCTCCATTTCCCTCCCCTTCCTTTCCCTCCATTTCCTTCAATCCAAACAAAGTGTAAATGCCTAACTAGAGTAGTAAATGCCTAATAAAGAGTTGTTACGCAAGATATAGGAAAATTAAAAGGAGTCAAGCTGGTTACATAAAAATGTACGCTAAAAATCTTGATGTGCGACTTCATCACCTAAACTAATGAAAATTTGAAGCTACTGCATAATCAAAAGTTAACAGACACATCAAGGTTTGTCAAAATTTTCTATTATTTGAAGGGACAAACCCTAGTTCCAATATTTTAGCTTATGGTGGCATAAGCTGTTTGATAACACTAATGAAAAATACATTCGAATTTCAACAAAAACACATTGATTCACACCCAGCAAATTTAGAGAATCATAGTTGAGGAATACAGACTTATCATTTCCAAGCCTGATGCAAAAACGGCTTTTTCAACCATTATAAATTTTGCAATATCAAAGTTTATTATAGTAAATCAATTAATCTACTTTATTGCATATGAAATCATAATAATTTTTCCTTAATATTATTTTTTTTTAAGGTGAGGTGAACAAGGTCTTTCTCTGTTTTCACTAACTTTTACACTATTCACATACTCTACTTTGACCGAGTTTGATGATTTATATAGGCCATGTTCTTTTGAGCTTCTAGGCAGAGTAGGGCAGGACAGAGTAGTACAGAGCAGGGCTAGGCTTTCACACACTGCGCGGCAGGGCAGAGCAATACAGAGCAGCTCTAAGGAACAGATAGATAGTCACGTGAAATCTAGTTAGATTTGCCTCAATTTACAATTAACTTATAACTTTTATTTATTATTGGTAATTAAAGATATTATGATCAAAAGAATGCATGGACAATTATTAAATGAGAGGTATTACAAGTAAAAACAATGAATAACCAAATATTTAAACCTAATTTAATCCCACTGACAATCATAAAACGAAATTCCACCAAAATTGCTTGCTTCAACAGAGAATCAACACCAAAACAATAAAACATCAATTCAAGCCAAAAAAAATTAAAAAATAATAATAAAATTAAATCTTAAAAAAATATAATAATAATAAATCAAATTAAACCTCCCCCCCCCCCCCAAAAAAAAAAAAAAAAAAAACATATGACAAAAACAAGATTCAACGAAAAAGAAAAGGCAATTTGCAGAAAAAAAAAATTAAAAAGAAACCTTGAGATCGATATTGGAGCGAGAATGGAGAAATTTGTTAAATTCGACATCTTTCTGGATCAATTTCCATTTACCAGGGCCGTGTTTAGCGACACCTGCTCGTAGCGCCTCTTCTTCTTCGGACGTCCACTTTTGCTTCGGATTTCCCATCTCTCTTTTTCTCTCTCCTCAATTTCACCCGACCGCTGCAATTTTGATTTTTGAGTGCTGCTCTTTAGCCACGAGAGCTGAGAGGTGTGAGTGACGGCTGCCGAGGTATTTGAAACAATGAAACAAAGTCGGGGGTATAATTGTCATCAATAATCAATCAATCAATAACTATATTCTAAAAGACAATATCGCAAAATTCATATTCATCATTATGATGAACGAACCTTGTTCATCATAAGGGTATGCAGGTAATATCCATTATACGTGGACTCCAGGTAAGCAGTGATGTGTTAGCTCACGTGTATTCAATGAACAGGTCATCGCGTACAGTCACCAATGTTAACTTAACGTCGTCAAACACCTCACTATTCATAAAGGAAAGGAGATTAAATGCTTCGAGTGGCGATTTGTGCGAGGGAGATATAGTTGGATCTGCTTCACCGATAGAAAGCTCACCGACCGACACCGGAATTCGAAGCACCGGCCAGACCGTATCCAATATCCAATGTAAGTCTTATTTTTGGGTTTAATTCTTTTTGTGTGACTTAGTTAAATTGTTGCCGAAACATATAATTCTAGGGTTGGTGTTGAAATGGAAATCAAAAAATTATTTAAAGTGAATGGGCAAAATTTCGAAAATTAATTAAAGAGTGTAGCTTGCTTACGTACACAAAACAATTGTGTTGAAATGCAAATCCGAAAAAACATGAAATTGTGTTGTTTAATTATACAAAACAAGGGTTTGTGTAGTTTGGTAAAATTAGAGTTGTATTTTAATTAAAAGGTTTTGATTATGGTTTGAAATAAAAGGGATGGTGTAGGTGTTTCATATTCAATGGTTGTAATGAATTGGTATTAAATCATGTGTGTGTGTGTGGTGGGGGGTGGGGGTGGGGGGGAGGGTGGGCTATCTGGGTGTGTGTGAGTGTAATTATACTTGTGTTGTCCTTGTTCTTTAAACTTGTAGTCGAAGTGTAATCGGTAGCTGTTTCAATGTAATGGTGTTGTATGAATTTGTGAAATTAAAGCTATTTCCATATAGTAGTTTGATTTGACTAAAACATGAACCTTCACAAATCTTATCTTCAAGTAAACATCTTGTGGCGTCTCTAACTCTATATGCACTATATGCAGTTCCAAGACTGAATTTATGGGGAAGCGATTGAGGGAAGTCGTTGAAATGGAAAACAAAGATGTATGGTATAATGACTCTGAATCTATTATATGCCCTAAAATGTTTTAAGAGTTTAGTATTTTATCCACAAAGAATTGCCTTTTTGTGCAGAATAGGAATGAGCGTTGTTGTGGAAAGACAATTGAATTACACCCTGCACTCTTTAAGGTTCGTTTCACCCGCATTGAATAATATTAACATAGGCAATTTCAAAATGCTAATTTATAATATGCAATGCATTAAGTAGGACAATAGCATGAGCAAGGGAGGTGTCGTTAAGGAAAAGGGACAAGTATTGAGGGAGCATTCCAGATCAATTTGTAGAGTAAGTGCGCTAGTATTGAATTTGCATTTGATATTACTTTAAATTGAGGTATATGATGGTACATAAATTTCAGTTACATCAATGTCTAAAACTATGAGTTGTAGTTGAAATCCAAGTTTCTTGTTCAACTATTATGATCCACTTTGTCCAACACTATATGCAAGTCCCAAGTTTTTAATAAGGAGTTGTTGACTTGTTCTTTTTAGGAACAAACTGCTGTTTTAATTTCTTAAACATTAGGTTGTGTGTGTTGGTCATAATGATGAGTTGGGGGTTTTGATTTATGTTTTTAGCCACCGAGTATCAATTGTCGTATTCAGTCATTTGGGCGTATTTGTAAGAAATTTAATGAAAGAAGGACTAGATGGGTGAATGAGATGGGGTTTGGAGGCATTCTTCATCTTGTGTCAAGCATGCATCTACCAAGACAATTATCGTATTGGATTATGACTAGAATTGATCCACTTAATAGGATCTTGATTGCTCCAGATGGACATGAGTTTCCGCTGTCAAAGAATCAAGTTAGATGGATATTAGGTACACCCAGTGGTAACAAGTCCGTGCCAAGTTCTAAAATGATGAACAATGAAGTTCGTGAGAAGGTTCATAAGGTGATACTCCAATATGGGAGTTCATGGAAAACAAAATCTAGTAGAGGATGTGGAAGTGTTTATACATCTGTCGGTATTCCGGTAACTAGTAAAATGATGGATAGATTGGAGGGAAACTTTGGTGAAGATGAGGAAGAGGAATTCAAGACACTATTTCTTATCCTTTTGCTGCATATGGTATTTTGTCCAACCCAATCACCTTGGCTAGCCACAGATTTAATACCGGCTGTTAGCTGTGTCAAGGACTGTAAGGAGTATGATTGGAGTGATTTGGTGTTGAAGAAATTGATGGATAGTGTGTCCAGTTTTGCTCGGCGTTTCTATGAAACTGGATATGCTGGTGGATGTGGAGGATGTGCGATATTTGCTGTTGTGAGTACGATGCATACATATATCAATTTTTGTTAATTGACATTAGTGAAGGATTTTGTGATTATGAATTGACGATGTTTTTATTACAGATTTTTTACCTCGACAGGCTAAATAGGCCTCCTTTACAATGGGATGTGTTCCCTAGGATAAAGGTATGGACCAAGAATGCAATCTCAATGGCAGCGAAGGCAGACCAGACAAGATATGGGGACTATGGGAGGTTAGGGGTTAGTTTCTAATCAACAACTATACTTCGTATTATTCATCTACACATGTTTGAGGGTTGTTGAATATTTGCAAGGAAAACGGTAATTTTAATAGTATTGCTTAGAGTTACTTGATTTTTGTGCAGTTGGTTGATGTTGCCTATGGAGAGAGTCATTACAAGATTGCTAGGGACTTTGAAGCACCAGTTGAGAATGTTGTGCTTAGAGTGAGTTTTTTATTTACACTTTGTACTGAAAGCGAAATTGTATTTGGCCACATATGTTTCATTAACACATCATTGGGCTATATCGTTGTGTGGTAGGATGTCTCCGAGCTGATGGGGTCTAAAACTGAAAGGCAAAGGCGCTCTGGTCGTCAAGGAAGAGCCAAGGTTGAACATGCTAATAATGTAACAAAGAAACATATTGGTTATCGCTATGCTTAAGTTAACCTGTGGTGTAACTGTAACAATAATTAATTGTATTTTACAAAAGGTGATGGTATTTGTACACCTTACAAACGCACGACAATGATTCGTAGTTATTGTAAATTTTGTTTTCCGATAGATTTCGTGGTCAGAAAAAGGAATATCTCCATCACACTTGTTCCTAACCAAATAACTAAACAGGTATTTATACAAGCTAGCATTAATTCAATTACAACACCTATCTTGGGCCCAAGTAATCAACTTATTCTGGGTAAATTGTACATAGTTCTAATAAGGATTTAAATGTTAAACATTTGGAATTGGGCCCCATTTGTCTGGGACAAAAGGGATTATGGACCATATATCTTAACCCGAATAATTTTGTGACACTCGTACATGATCATTGTGGCGTTTTTGTAAAATATGTAACGGGTGTTCGTTTTATTATTAGAATTTAAATACGGTTATGAATAAGTTGTAATTCACGTGTTGACGAATATCCAATGATTAGTATTGATAGGTTTATACTTTACAAAGTTGTTTTGTTGCCACTTAATGAAATAACAGTTTTATTATCATAAAAAATAAGCAACTCCATAAAACACATTCACCGTTGTACTAAGATTCGCACTTTATTGAAAACTAGGTTAGGTCCCGTGGAATAATGCACAGTAGTTACAGTTCCAATATAAGTCATATTATTAAAAAAAACTCTTGTTATATAGTTTTGTACAATTAATGCAATTTACGTTTGAGAAAATCTATAATTACCTTAGTTAAAAATTTACATAAAATAAATGTTAACCCAAAAATTCTAAAAGATACACCAGGAGATGACACGTGTGGTGTGTCTTTTAATATATACTTATAGTATATATTATTGATTAATGATGATTGATTGATTAATGATGATTTTTTTAATAAATAAAACATAGTCATAAATTGTTCAGATACCTATTTAAATTATTAAATGTCAACTAAAAAAATAAGTTCGCAATAAAATATCAAAAATAATTGAGTGACAGTTTAAGCTAGTGATTAATATATATTATACGAAGTTTAGTCCCAACATTGGGTAGTAGGTTGTGGTAAACTAACTTTAAATTTGACTTATGACAAAATGTGAAATTGGGTGGACCCAATCAAATAAATGGGCCATAAATACACAACAACTTGGATGTTTATACCTCCCAAGAATTGTACAATTAAACCAAACAAAGCAAGATTGGGCCTAATAGTTTACTTGATGTACTTGGCCCAGCTGTTTTTGGATCCACATATAATAGGGATGACCCATACCTTATGGGTGCAAGTTTTACAAGCATTTTGACACTACTGAGGTATAGGATTGGTAAATAAATAAATGTATAAAATAATCGTGTCCATTTACACTTGATTCCCAAATCACCTTGTATGATTGAAGGGTCATTCGATATTGTTATGGAGTTCATGTGTTGATAATTAGATATTCAAAATAAATGTTTATGGGAAGCAAACAAAATGGGGTGTACATTTTGGGACTAAAATTTATACATAAGTGACTATCAAAGGGCACGGAGCGAGTATATGTGTAGGAAATGTAACTTTGAATTATTATTATCTCCTAAGATTAAGGAAACAACAATAATCACCAAGTAATTATCTACTAAATATACCATGATTGTCCTAATGACTCCTAACTTATATATTACGATGATATATAATTATGCAATCTTCTCTTAAAAAAAACAATATTTGATTTAACAAATGTACCCTTAAAAAAAAGCAATCTTAGACTTAACAAAAGTACCCATAAAAAAAAAGGACTTAACAAAGATAAGAAAGATCACTTAATATAAAATATGCAATTTGGTTTTTAACAAGTAATACTTAATAGTAAGTAATATCATACTTAACTTTATAGTTGACTCACTTTTGGTAACAAACACGTAGTAGTTCGGTATGATCTTTTGCATTCTAAAAACAGATATGC